CGGTGCGTGGCCAGGCTGGAGGACACGGTGAAGCGGCGCCCGCACTCCCCGCACCCGTAGGGCTTCTCCCCCGTGTGCGTCCGCCCGTGCTTGGCTAGGTCGGCGCGCTGGCGGAACCCGGCGGTACGGCTTCTCGCCCGTGTGCGTGCGCCCGTGGGTCGTCAGGTGGGACGTCTTGCCGAACACTTTGCCGCACACGGGGCACGGGTAGGCCCTGGCAGGTCCTGGGGGGCTCACGGGGACCCTGGGATCCCCCGGCGTGTCCATGGCAGTGGCATCATCCTTAGGGCTCTGCCTCCCTGGTGTGCCCTGGGGCACGTGGGCGCTGTCCCAAGCTTGAAACACATCCAGCACGGACTGGGGGCTGTCCTGGGCTCTAAGCGTGTCTAATGCGACCTGGAGTCCGTAGGAGTCGTCCCAGGGTCTAAGCGTGTCCGTCGTGGCCTGGAGGCCGTGGGAGCCATCTTGGGCTCTAGGTGTGTCTAGTGTGTCTTGCACCCTAAGTGTGTCTGATGTGACTTCAACCTTGTCAGGAACTTCTTGGCCTCTAAGTGTGTCCACAGTGACATGGGGGCCATCCTGGGCCCTAAGCATGTCAGACTTGAACTTGAACCCATCGGGAACATCCCGGTCTCTAAGCATGTCTGACCTGGGCTCCACCTTGTCAGGAACACCTTGTCCTCTAAGTGTGTCTGACATGACCTGGGCCCTGTCGGCGACATCCTGGCCTCCAATCATGTCCACAATGACATGGGGGCCATCCTGGGCCCTAAGCGTGTCTGACGTGACCTCAGCCCTCTCAGGAACATCCTGGTCTCTACGCATGTCCAGTGTGACCTGGAGGCCATCCCAGGTTCCAAGCATGTCCGACGGGACCCTGACCCTGTCAGGAACATCCCAGCCTCGAAGCGTGTCCAGCGTGACCTGGGGGCCATCCTGGGCCCCAAGTGTGTCGGATGTGAATTTGAACCTGGCTGGAATATCTTGGCCTCTAAGCGTGTCCAACGTGACCTGGAGATCATCCCAGGCTCCAAGCATGTTGACCTCGACCTTGCCAGAAACATGTTGTGCTCTAAGCGTGTCCAGCGTGACATGGGGGCCGTCCTGGTCTCTCCTCGGGGCTCCACCCGGCGATACCAAATCACCCGGGCCCTGCTCTGGGCAGGGGCAGCGGTGGCGAGCCAGGCGGGAGGCCTCGGCAAAGCCCTTACGGCAGCGGGGGCAGCGGTAGGGGCGGTCGCCGGCGTGGGTGCCCTGGTGGCGCAGCAGATGGGAGCTGAGGGCGAAGGCCCGCCCGCACTGCCCGCACAGGTAGGGCCGCTCACCCGTGTGGGTGCGGCGGTGCTGTGCCAGGTTGGAGGCCCGGCTGAAGGCTTTGCCACAATCCCGGCAGGGGTAAGGCCGCTCCCCAGTGTGGCTGCGCTGGTGTCGGGTAAGCAGGGAGCTCTGGCTGAAGGCGCGCCCGCACTCGGGGC